GTATGGGAAGAGATTATGGTGTATATACTGCATATAAAACATGGAGTTAGCCCTGTCTGAAAGGATTGGAAAAGTGACTGAGAATGAGTTGTATTTTAATAGCTCAGTTAGATGTGTTCTGACATTTAAATAAATGAATAAATAAAAGTTTGTCCAATAGATGAAAGAAAGATGGGGGGGAGGTTTAAAAAAAAAAAAAAAGAAAAAAAAAAAAGAAAAGGAAAAAAAGAAAGAAAATTCACTGGATTTACAGTGTCCATGGAAGTCAGACGCACCCAATCCCATTCCATGAGCTCAAGCCAGAGCCGAATGCATTCACAAAGCTTAAAATTTCAATCAGAAAAAAATCACTCTTTCCTTTATATTTGTGAAATTCAATGCTGGGGTAAGAATAGGTCACAATCAGAAATATGCAGCCTCCACTCTGCAGCGAGGCACAGACCATTTAATAGAGCCAGAGTAAGGTGGAATTTTTAGCCCAAACCCTACCCTGCTAGAAAGGCCCTACTTTGGGGCATTTCTCCTACCTGTGACTGCACATTGGCTCCGACTTGGGACCCCTGGTAAGAATCCCCATTCAGACTCTGCATGTTCATGAACATGTCCCCAGAATTTGGGAGGTTAAAAGAACCAGAAGAACCTGGAAAGGAAAGAGTTAGGTAGCTGAATAACAGAGAGCTGCAAATATATAACGCCAGAGACCTGAGGGCAGGGGAAGGAGAAGAAGACAGGAGAGGAGAAGGAAAGGCAGCACACAGCAGAGGGAAAGCTGCTGGCCCCGGCACAGGGCGAGCTCGGGCCACCGGCCCCCCGCCCACCGGCTCGGCGCGTCCCGGCGGGGGCTGCTGCCGGCTCTCGCCACGGCACCAGCTGTCGCCCGGGAGCGCGACGCTGAGAAAGCCTGGAAGCCCCGTGCAACCCGGGTCAGCTTTTCCCTCTGGAAGAGCAGCCTGTACAACAACAGGTTTTCATGTCGAGAGCTTTCCTCTGGTGGATCGCTTCATCATGAGATGCTATCGCCAAACACTCGGAGAAAAACTCATTTTGAGCCTGTGCTTAATGTCTCCTTCAAAAGGAAATGGCTGCTAATTTCTAGTTAGCCGATTTATTACCATCAGAGGAGGAACCTTTTTCTTACTTTCTTTTGATTAAAGTTTTTTTTTCCCTGTGGATCTTTATACCCTTTAAAAGTTGTCTACAACTAAGTTGCAGCAAAACTTCAACGTAAATAGTGTCAAACACATCTGTGCTTTGCGGAAGCCTTTGCCTCTGGAGCCCCAGAAAGCAACTTCCTCTTTACGAACTCCCCTACTAATTTAACGCTTAGATTTGCAAAATGTCAACAACACACTAGTGAGACAATTTTTAAGTACTGCAGAAGAACACGTGGTAGAGCAACTCCAAAATAAAAGTTGCATCCTTAGATTTCTATATATAACATCAACTCCATTTCAAGCAACCCAGAGTTTACATTCTAATTAGTGCATACTAAAATATGCCTCTATTTTGTTCTTATCTTGACAATAAATTTAACAGTTCTACAAAACCAGACTTGGAGCTCTGCCTCATTTTGTGTTATTTTCATTGAATGAGAAAAAGCTTAAAATATCTATGGAAACAAAGAAGCTGCCAGAAGCCCGAGCCAGGCAGACGTTACCATTGCGGGAATTACGTGGGCCCCGCTCCGCTCCCCCGTAAGGCGGCGGGAGCTTTGTCGCCGAAGCTGCTGGGACCACCTATGGCAGCGCTCAGCCCTTGCAGTGGTCCAGCCTGGAGGTCCACGGGCTTGGTAGCACTCCCCGTGCCACGACTAGGTCTGCTAGGGAGCTGCAGCCTCCTCAGCCCGACCGAACTCACTAGGGCGCCATCAAGGGTCTTCCTTTACGGACTGCCCTTTGGGATGCTTTATCGCACGGGCCGGGTACGTACCAGAGTTTGGTGTGGTGGGGGAGTTTGTCTGGTTGTTCTGGACGGCCGCGGCCACGGCGTGCGCTGCGGTCACAGCCGTCTTTGCCGCGTAGAGATTGGCTTCTTCCTGGAACTTCCCGATGTTCTTCTTGTACCTGATTCTCTTATTGCCAAACCAGTTGGACACCTGCAGTGGAGAGAGGTGGGAAGGGTGAAGGACACAAAGCACTTGACCTGGCAAAGCATGATGCCTTCGAGATGTCATGTTCAGTCCAGCAAATAGGCGTGCCCCCACCCCCACCCCTTATCTGCTGGGTACTCCAGTTAACTAAGCAGTAACTGAGGATCAGTTAAATATTACGATAGATATGAGCATGATCTGGCTTTGCTTCTGTTGGCAAACTGATGCACGAGGGGTGAGTCTTTGATGACGACACATATCCTGGAGCTTGCTGTAACATTTAGTACAGCATTGTCTCCTACTTCTATGAGCCATTTGTCAACAAAATCAGTGCAAGACCCCGAAAGCTGCTGAAGGAGGACCAAGGTCCGGTTGAGCGAGGGCGAGCGGGCAGTGGAGCAATTGTTCTTTATTTTTGGGCTGGAACAACCTTGGCAGCCCACTCATAGAATCGTGTTTGGTCGGCTGAAAATGAAAGGAATCATATAAATCAATAATGGCTGAAAAGTCACTTTGTCATCTCCCTTTGAAGATACTGTACTGAAGCCAAGATGGCTCACGGGGCACTGACTATTAACCCACGCAGAGGTCACGGCTGGAGCCGCTCAGAAAAGTTCATACAATCTTTCTCAGTGGCTTTGTTTAACTTCAGCTGCTGTAACAGAGCTCCTAAATAACAAACCTGGTTTGTAACATGGATGATGGCCAATGCTGCCGAGACAAAAAAGCGTCTGCAACAACACAGAGGTAAAGGGGAGAGGACCAGTAATAACACGATAATGGTTATCAGCCATCCCTGCAGCGAGGGACCCAGCCGCTCGGTGCAGGGCAAGGCAGGGGCTGGGGTCCCACACTCCCCGGGGCCCCTGCACCCCCACAGCTGCACCCCACCATGAGCTGCAGCAGCTCTACGGCACCTCTCGCATCCCTGTGCTCCATCGTAGCACCCGGTAAGGCACCCCGCTGCAGGAAGGAGACAAATCCTGCTGTATTTTATGCAGCTATAGCTTTTGTTTAAGCACAATTAATGAAAAGCCTCTAGCTTTTAATGGTAATACGAAAGGTACCTTATACATTCTGTTCCCTAGATAATACTCCACCGTATTCTATATATTGCACTTAATATTACCTTGTCAGTCAGAGAAGCAATAATACATTAATGAAACCTAGCAAATAATTATTGTGGACAATCAGATTACGCTTTATTAACAGTTTCATAATTGAGGAATCTCTGTACATCAACTGTATTGTCCACGGATGTGTGTGAGACCCCTCTGTTTATGCACGCCCCTGGACCAATCAAACAACAGCCATCACTAATAAAGGTTTATTTAATTCTCACAGTAAAATTTTAATATCACCAGCAGCCTGGGGAAGCCTCTACGAGTGGATTTGCTTGACATCAGATCGTTTCCATTCTGCTAGTCCCAATACTTCTTAATCTTTAATATCAAGGCAATTAAAATTAATGGCCACTCATCCAGAGCCACTGTGGGCAGTGTTTCCTTGACATCAATTGTTTGATGGGATTACCTAGAGGTTAAACTAACAAGCAAGGTTTAATTGGAAGCAATGAGAGGAGCAGCGATCGTACGTTATGTTTAACCCGCATACCACATCTAAGTGAATATCCAGAAATGTTAAACTATTTCTGAGATTAAAGCGCACGCCCTGCGCACCGGCAGAGCGCAGCGTTCAGGGCTGCCGTGGCCGCCCCGAGAAACCACAGCATCCCTCCGGGGTAACGCAGCCACCGCCCAGTGCCTTTGCCTCCCAGCCGAAGGACTCTTCGCTCTCCCATGAAATACATCAGCAAGGGGCTGCAGCAGAGCGTGCCGTGGCCCGGGGACAAGCAGGGGCTCCAGCCAGGCGTGCACGGCCAACACGGGCAGCTGGATGTGTCCAGGATGGGGCCAGGGCACCGCTGGAGCCGAGGTGGTGCCAGGCAGGATTTAGGCTGGATTCACCGCCATGGCATTTTTCACGCGGGGCTGTGCTGGCTGCCTGCAGCTTCCCCTGCCCGTCCGCAGCACAACTCGCCCTGCCCTTGCCGCTGGCACTGTCCCGTCCTGGGGAGGGCTGGAACGCTGGTGCTGGGCTGCTCCCTGGTCAGCACCGGGACCCAGAGGAGCCACGGCACCCTGGCTTCTCACCCAGCCCCGCGCTCACCCTAAAAATGAAAGTTGTCTCCATCACGAGCTGCTTCACAACACATTTTTCATTAAAACAAACTATCTCTTCACATAAAAAAACACTGAACATCTTTCTCCTCCTGATCATTGAAGGCCAATTAATTAATTTGGCTTAATTGTATATTACATTTCAAACAATACTGTTGCACTTATTTATCATGTTAATTGCAATGTTAAATAAAAAGACAATAAAATATTACTTAAATCATCAAGATGCCTAATGTGGGATTTGGGATGGGGCAGGCCTGCCTCGTGTCTCTGCAGTGGCTGATTTCATGGGATAAATCAGCACTCGTTCTGCAAAAGACGCAGCTGACACAAGAGCATCACTGCTGAAATTAGTGAACTACATATTTATGGATCACGGAAAATTTTCCATTGTCTTTCCAAGTGTTTGTAGCACACAGCTTATGTTCCACACCTAATCAAATGGCGCAAAATAGAAAAATTTTGAAAATCAGTGTGGCACAATTATGGTACGTGATCTAAAACAAGAATTTTAACTCTAGAAACTATTTAATTAAGCTTGCACCTGTTTTCTTTCCTTGCTTCCCATATGAAGTCCAGGGGTAAGAGCCTACACATCCATAGCTCTCTGTGTCAATCTGCTTACAGAAACAGACAGACTCAGAAGAAGCAGGGGCAGGAGGGGTGTTGAAAACCAGCTTCTGCATTCTTTCTTTAAAAGAATTTTAAATATATTCCCTTGTCAACCACATCCTTCTTTTGTTTGAAGCAGTGAAAAATTTTATTGCTGTAATCCACTGACACGCTTTCAGCAATGAGTATGCCCTTTCTATAGCCCATATGATAGACTGATAGTTGTTCATGACACCCTGAAAGAGGCTCATCTGCAAAAGTATAAAACATCAGCCTCGCAGCCATGGTAAGGGGAGAACAGATGATACAGTTTATCTCCCTCGAACACGTGCTGATCGGGTAGCTCTAAATTACAGCCGACGATGTTCTCTGTTAAGGACATTTTTTTTCCCTAGAATTACCTTTTCTGCACTCTTAAAAATGAAATTGTGTGAGGTGTTCATCTTAGTAAATAGTTTGTCTTTATGCTTTTCTTGAAAAACCTTCTCTACATATTATTTTAAACACCGATATCAAAACTGAAACCATCTATCTCCCATCTGCAACTACATGATTCTGGGAGACAATTTTCTTTGCAGCTCAGTAAAGTGCTATGGCAGCAAGATTTCCAGTGAGCTGTTTAATGTGGGGGGAGAACGACCCAAAACAGTCACTAATTAAGTGTTTGAGGGAGAAAATGTTCTGCCATGAATCTGCCCCCAGCGTTTACAAGGCACTGACAGTACAAGAAAGAAACACCTTGGATCATTGTTAGGAGAGGCTACAGGGGAAGCCTGGCTCAGCCAGGAAAAGGACAAAGCCTCTTCATCAAACATGAACCACAACCTCCAGGAGTTCGGAAAGCCATCCGTTAACTTTTTTTTTTTTTTTTGGTCTCATTTTCCAGCTCTTTGCACCTCCAGGATGTTTGTAGCACAGAAGGTAAATTGGGCACAGTGCCAGGCATGGCAATGTTGGAGGCACTCCTGGTCGAGGCTGGAAATGCGTGCGTTCAGAGTTTTTTCATAAAAGACACGTGCAAGGTGTAGCTCAGTCACTCGCTTGGATGCCATTGCTTATCCCATGCGATGCTACTCCTGCCAGTATTTTAAATGACTGCTCAATTCACCCCTGATTTCTGGATTGCATCCTCTGACTTCTGCTGCCAACCACCAGAGCAGAGTGCACTGGGCTATTTTACAATGCTTGCTCAGAGCTTTTCTGCTAGATGGCCTCAAAAATATATACATTTTTCAGCACAAAGAAAGACAACTCCAGCCCAGTTTGACCTAGTAAATACCAACTAACCCTGCAGTCCTGCCGTGCGGCCTTTGGAAGTGCCTTTGAAAATCAAAGATTAGGATATCCACAGTATTCACATTCTCTAGCTGCGACAGCAGATCTATCAGGAACTTAAGCAACCAGCTGATCACAGGCACTCCCTCTCTCACATACATGCTCCTCTCCCATTAGATGATACATTGCCCCGTTTTCAGGCTTTCCCATCATCCAGAGGTTTTCCTAGCCATTTATAATATCTTGCCAGAGTGAAGCTCTGGCCATGGCCCCAAACCTGCATCTCTGGCAGCTAGTGCCCAAGTTGCGCGGTCAGCGCTGCCCTTGCTCCAGGCTGGAAAACGTCACCCTGCAAAGCTCAGGATGCTGTACGTGGTGCTACAGAGGACACAATGCGGCGACTCCCATCACTCACTCAGAATTCCTAATGGATTCAAGAAACAACTAATTCATGCTTCTATCAAATATTAAAGAGACAAACCTATATTCATGTAACAGGCTCACTACTGCTGCTGCTACACTTTTGGATCATCTGCCTGCCTTTTATTTCGTTCTACAACATATACATTAAATCTTATCAAACACCCAATTAAGAAAGAAATCAGATCTATTAGCACTAGAAGCAATCAGTTATGGCTTCTCAAATGTTCCATCTCATTTCCTTCAGTCACTTCAGCCCTACCTAGATCTAGCTTTTTATCTGTCCAGTCTGGGGGATCACTAACCCCTTCTCTGCCAGGCACAATTCACCATCTGCTGGGTGGACAAAAAACATCTCTTCAGCAGGTCTGTTGTGCTCCCTACCATGTAATCTCTCCCAATTACATTTTGCCAGCAGAACTGAAGAACTTTGGGTTTCTCCAAATTAGTGTTGATGGTGTTGCCTCTCCTAAATACACAGCAGGCTGCTGTGGCTCATGTGGGAAGATTTTTGGACACCACTTACTGGAGGAATTGCTATAAAGCATCTCATGCCAAGAGGACTGAAACCAGCAACAAGACAGAGGGCTGCAGACCGAGGTGCCCAGGTACTCACGTGCTCTCGGGCTGTTTGGCTGGTTGCAGGCACCCACAGCAGCCGCAGGGACGCCTGTGGGCAGGGAAGAGCTGCCCAGCAGCCACCACAGCCGCACCTGTACCTGCTAAGGCTGCAGTCACTCGCATGATGCTAACAGCGATGAAGGAGCAATGTGAGAGGGAATGAGTTTGGTGCTGAATCTCCCCCCAAAAATTCCTGCCCATCACCACAGCCACTCACAAATGGACTGGGAGAAACTGTCCCCATCCCCATCCCTTACCTTCCCCTGGCACCGGGCACAGGCACTTCCCACCCCTCTTGGAGCACAGAATGTGCTGCGTGCCAAGGAATGAGCAAGAAGAGAGCAAGGCACACACATGTGTCCGCTGGCCTCTCATGTCATAGGGCAGTTTTGCTAGGGTTTGTACTGAGGGTGCATCCAAAGTCAGTTAAGTAATATCAAATTTGGGGGTGCTGGGTGGCCTTTCATTTGAAAGTCTTAAATAAAGTGCCTGAATTTTTCATGCATTCAAGGGAGACCTATAAAGTAAATCTCAACTCAGGTCTTAATTATAAAGCTAAAGGTTGCATTGCTAATAATGCCAATACTGCAGCCTGCAATCATTAATAGTTAACACATTCGCCGCAGGCATTGTTCCTCTAAAGGACCTGAAATATTGATAAATGGAGCCAATGGAGCTGGGAGGAGATGGCACACCAGCCCTCACAATGGGCAATGGGGTGGCTGGAGAACTTGGAAACTGCTGGTGAGTTTTCCCTGCCACCCAAGTGCAACCTTGCCCAAGCTGCATCAGCCAGATTTGGTGTGGGAATAATCTGGTTTTCTATCAAATGTACAGGCCACGAGAAATGTGCAAAGTGTTGTTTTGCTTTTTAAGCTATCTGGTGAGGGAAAGGTGAAGGAAAGCTCGATGGAGCAGTGTCATTGGCCTGAACATCACTGTGAGACACCAGTCCAGAGCTGTAACTGTACTTTGGCCTATACAGAAAGCAGCTGTAGCCAACAACGGGAAGCACTTCTGATTAGGGAGATGCTGGTTTTCTTGCATTAACTTCATGGTAACATCTGTTATATGTGACAAAAAGAGCAAATCTGTCTAATACGTTTTTGCTACAGAGAAACCACTTGTGTCACTTTAGTGTATTGAGAGGCTGAATTTCTGGCTGGCTTAGAAAAACAACTTCAAGCAATCAAAGAAATTCTGACCTATAGAGATAGACTATATGTTTGTCGATAAACTGTCCTCCCCCTGAAATAATGCTAAGTTGTAACGAATTCATAACAGACAGCAAAGCTCAGCAAGGAATCTTACTGACTACACAGAAAGAAAGCCGATGTAGAGTGCTAACCTTATAGCCTTCTTATTTCTATCTTCACCTTTGTACACACGCTCTTTTTACCCCAGCACAACCCCAGCCACCTGCAGGCACACTGCCTTTCCTGCAGAGCTTAGTCATGTTCCACCACCCTGCCGAACTTTATCACGGTCAGCAATGCAAATTTGAAGGGATCACATTGGGCAGGGACCTGCTCCGTATCGCACGCCTCCGTTAGAAGCGCATGCCAGAGCCCAGAGGCAGATGGCAGCTTTGCAAGGGGAGCCAGGAGGTCGACGCGCTGCCTGGGGCGCGGAGGGGTGAGGGCTGGGACCCGCTCCCACCCACTGCTTACCTGCGATACTGTGATGCTGCATTTCTTTGCCAGCTCTTCTTTGGCTTCTTCACTGGGGTAGGGGTTACTGAGGTGGGAGTAAAAATACTCGTTCAAGATTTCTGTGGCTTGTTTACTGAAGTTACGCCTTTTCCGCCTGAAATGAGAAAAGAAAACCACAGCTGTTCTTCCAGATGCAGAGAGGTCTCTAACAGGGTCAGCTGGGGTGGAAGCAACCCTTGTTTCACATGCCCGTGCTGCAGCACACGGCAACACGACAGCACTGTCTCCGTACCCCGATCCCTCCAGGCCAGCCCTCCAGCAGGGCCGGGCTCTGCCCTGACGCCGTGCAGCGCGGGCAGCGGGCTGCAGCGCCCGTGTTCCTACATCCAGCCCTGCAAGGGTCTGGACTCCGCTTCTGGCCGTCCACCTCCACCTGGGCTTTCATCCCGTGGGTGCACCGGCCACATTTGTGTGCTGTGGCAGAAAACACGATGAAGCGAAAGGCAAAGCAGGGCGCTGAGCCGGGCAGCCTGCCTGCAGCACCTCCGCGCCCAAGTACGCAACCCAAGCCGAACTTCCCGGCTGCCAAATCGCTCTGCGCCGACGACGGCTTCGCGAACCTCGCTCCCTTTAGCGGCGGGTCAGCTGGGGCTTCTGCACCGGTGCCTGGGGTGAGCACAGTGGAAAAGGACGGGGTGGCCTCCCTGCCGTGTCCTTACATAGCACTCATTGAGCTAATTGGCTTCCGTGAGCAAGTGGCTTTCAGGGCTTTGCAAGGGAGACCCATCTGTACACCCTCCTGCCGAGGGCTGAGCAGGGCCCAGGCTCTCACGCCGCGTGGGACGGGTACCACGGCGTGCAGCCCAGCCAGAAAGCGAAGCCTTTCCGGAGCGCTCCGCCTGGCACGTGCTCCAGCGGGCCCAGCGGCGAGGCAGCACCGGGCAGGGAGCAGCAGAGCCCCCGCGGCGCAGCAGGCAGCCAGCCCACCGCCGCGCTCCCGCCGCATGGGTTACAGCGGCAGCATCTGCACAGCTGCGGCGCCTTCCCTCGGAGCCGCCGTCGGCTGCTCTCCTTCTCCCCAGAACGTCCTCTGGAAAGTGCCGGTTAAACATTTCCTTCAGAGCTCCCTTCCCCTCAGGGCTGGTTGCAATCAAACTGCCTGCGCCCGAGGCCAGCAGGCAGCCGAGCGGCAATCCCCAGCGCTCTCTTCCAGCGGTATCACAATGCTGCTAACTACGCTGTATCCTGGAGCAGGCAGACTCTCTCCCTAGAGCTATGTTTATCTCATTACTGTGCTTCCGCTCATTTTGCCTTATTTACCTTCCTCCTTTTTAAAGAAATCACTTTAAAATGTGCATCTGCAAGCTTTACCTTTTGCAGTTACTCCAGCTCTCCATAGACGTTTCCTCCAACTGTTTGTAATTACCCTAATTTGCCACACCTGCCAGTGACCTCCTTGTTAATAAAATTATTTTGCTCTTGTTTAGCTCCTCACAGCTTTCAGGTGTGAAGCATGAGCTAGGTGCTGAAGGGAGGCTCTGCATGGTGCCTGCTGCTCCTCCCCGCTCCGCCGGGCTCAGCTCCCGCTCCGCCGGGCTCTGCCAGCTGCCAGGGTCCCGCTCTGTGGAGGGGATCCCTGCGAAAGGGATGGGGCTGGGGATCGATATCCCACCTCATCAGGGCTTCCAAGCAAACCTGGCTGTGCCTATAAACCCCCTCCTAATCCCCGCCTGCCTGCTGCCTCGCAGCCTGCAGAAGGAGCAGCCTGCTTTGCAGGCTGGCGGGCTGCAGGGACAGGCTCTGAGCTCCGGCAGCGACACAGGTGTCCGAGGGACACGCGTGCTGGCTGTGAGCGGTTCGGAAGGTGCTGCCTTCTCCCGCGCCCCAGTCAGGCAACAGCTTGTTGGGAGACGGGCCAGCAGATCTGGCTTTCGGAAGCGTCGCTGCCCTTTTTACCTCGGGCGCGTGCAGCTGCTAACCCAGCGTCAGCCACAGCCCGTGGGCACATCCCTCCCAGAGAACTTAGCTCTTCCATTACAGGGTCAGTATTTTGCAAGGCTGGCCTTATGCTGCGAGACATCGGTACCGGCAGCCATTTAAGTAACTGCCAGGGTGACAAAACAGCCCTTTGCACAAATCCTATGTGACTCCCATACGAGCAGGGTAAACAATCAAGCATTGGGTAAACAAGCCTAGTCTGTGCACTAAAATATGTAGAAAAGACACTGCTGTTTATGAAAGCTCTGTGCAGGAAACCCCCACTTTCACAGCAGCTGCTGGGTGAAGGACAAGGGCCCTGGGCTTTCGCTGGGGCAGACCAGCCCAGCGGGTCCCTGCCCACGCGGGGACATGGGTTCCAGCAGGGCCAGGCAATTGCCCCTTTCCCCCCAGAAAGAGCCGGGGGCACTCGCCTCTGCCTTACCTGGCATCGAGGAACCTTGATCTTAAAATCATTACTGCTTCACAAGTACTTTGTTTGAGTTGCATCTGGATGGAGCTGAATTTTCGATGAATGATGCCCACCATCCTTTCAATCTCCTTGGGAGAAATGGGACGTGTCCGGCTCTGTTCTCTGAGAAGGTTCATCACATGTGTGGTAAATTCATTACATGCCTGTGAAGGAAGGAGAGGCTTAGAAATTGTTTTGTGCCATCCCACAAGGACACAAGCTCGGGCCTGGCTGTTGGGGGGGCTGGGGGACCCTCGCGCAGCCCCGTCCCCTCCACACGTGTGCGGCCGCAGGAACAGATCACGCACACCCTGTCCGTGAGAGCCGGGACCGTCCTGCGGCAGCCAGGGATGCTGAGCAACCGCGGCGCGGCTCCTTCCACGCTCATCCCTTTCAAGGTCCCCGTGTCCCCAGCCAGACCGCAGTGGAGAGGAGAGGTCGGGGTCAGCGCGTGTAATGGCTGCGGGCAGGAGGGGGATGTGAGCGGGGACCAGCACACGCTCAGCAGCCAAGCGAGCAGAACCTGGGAAGGGCTGCCTGTCCCGCAAGCCGCCGAGCCCTGCGCCGGCAGCGGGCAGGGTTAACAGCCCGCAGGAGGTGAGGAGCTCCAGACCTTTCTGAGGCACCGTGTGCGTCCCCTGAGAGGGCGGATTTCGGCAAAGCCGTGCCCGAGCCTGGCCCGCGCCGTGCTGCCAAGGCGCTGAAGGAGGGAAGGCACGAGGAGCCATCAATTATCAGTCCCTGACTATGCCGGTGAATGGACACGCTGATATAAACTTCTCCAGGCTGCATCATCAACAGACGCCACCTGATCCGAGCCTTCGCATGACCAAGTGGCTGTCACGCTGGCATCCCAGCTTCCCCCACGCAGGCTGGAAGCTGCCACTAACTCTGCTGATTTATGTCTCCCTTATCTTTTTCCAAAACAAACCCCGGGACTGCTGTCTGCTAGGCAGAGCTGCATGGTGGCCACAGGGCTAATCCCTTCCCGGGGGCCAGCCCGGTATTCGAGCACATTTTGGGCACTAACCTACCCCCGTCCTGAGGGAGTCCTGGGAAGCGGAGAGGGGCTGGGCGACGTGCTGGCTCCTGCAGGGTCTGCAGGCAGCGCAAGGCAAACTGCTCTCTGCTCCCCAAACCCTTATCAGACGAAGGTGGGTGTATGCAAGGCTGACGCGTCTGCGGGAGGTCTGCGCGTTGGCTGCGGAAGGGCCAGCCGTCGTATCGCACTGCTGGGCTGCGATCACGGCCAAGTAAGGCCACGGGATTTTGCTCTTGTGCATCTAATGTTAACCGGCGATGAGCACAATGCTCAGCAGCCAGTAAATCACGTGGAGGAAACACTGCGTGTATCTCATCCAGACCCTATACGTTACGTATCTGTTTGACTCTAGCTCCCCTTTTTCTTCCAAAGCCAGGGTGAAAAATATCTACGTAATTTGTCTGACAATTACATTTTCTCCTGCATTTCAATAGATTGTGCGAGGGAAAGAGTTAAAAGTGAAAAGTTTATGCATCTAAAAACTCATAATTTCCTATAACATTTGCTGAACGTCTCACAACTTATTAAGTGAAGCCATCTATGAATGCAAATGCTGATTAGCAATTTGGCAATAGCCCAACATTCGCAGAATTCACATAGCTTTTCTTTAAACCAGTAGTTCATACATGATTAATTAGAACATCTCATTTATGTAGTGTGCACTTTAGCTCATTACTCTAAGTAAAATTCGTTAAGTATTTACATTTAGATAATTAAAATCTGGGTACACCCTTAAGAAAGATGCATACACTTCAGGCAAAGTGATTTTTTTTTTCTTTACACTACTGAAAGTAAATTACAGGCTAATTTACATCCTTGCAGCGCCCGTTTGGCGGCAGCGCTTTGGTGAGGCTCGGCGAGCCTCGGTGCAGATGCCCTCCGCCTGCCACCGCCGAGCGCGCCGAGGTCACGGTACCGCGGAGGCTGCGCCAGCTCACCGCCGCTCCACGCCAGCGCAGACACGACGCTCCCGCCAGCTGCTGCTCCCTGACTTTCTCGAGACTTTCTGAGCTCCAGGTTAAGGAGCTCGACACATCTCATCCTCGCTTCTCATTTGCATATTTCCTTTCCATTTTGACATTTCAGGCAGCAAAACTCGCGGAGGTGACCAGCTGCTGTCCCCTCTCACCACGCTGAAGAGAAGGGGACGCTGCCCTGAGCGCTCCCGGCCACCCTGCTCTGGCCCAGGGAGAGCAGGAGTTGTCCCAGGTGACCTGTTTCTCCTCCTCCCATCCCAAAGACCCGGCACAGCAGCTCGCCCGCCCAGCGCGAGAGCGGGCTCCGAGCCCCCAGGGAAGCGCGGCAGCCCCTGGCCTGAGCAGGGAGGCAGCCGGGCACCGGTGCCTGCTGCAGACCAGGACCGCATCCTTCCTGCCTGCCGTCTGCTGAGCTGCCTGGACAATCTTAGCATCCAGAAGCTTGGGTTCCGCCATCTGACCGACGGCAAAAGCCCTAGCTTTGGCTCGCCCAGTAAATGATGCACAGAGGTAAGGTAACATAGGCACCGAAATGCAGCCACTCGCTCCCTGAGACGAGAGAGCGGCTCTGACTGTCCCAAAGATACAGCTGAATCCAAGTGTTTGGCACTGAAAGAACATTTCAGGCACACAGCTTGCCACGTGCTCCCTTGTTTGCAGATCTGGGGAATTCAATTTTAAAGTACAATAAAAATGGCAACTGTTGCATTAAAAATCTTTTCAGATGTCTTTTCTATGAGAAATATTTCTCCACAAATATAGTACCAAAAGTTGGATGTTTCAAAGCTAAAGTGAGTTTCTTGCTTTCAAGAAGCAAAAATCCTTCCCTGAATTTACTTGAACTGCTTGATGAGACTTCGTTTGGTTACAACAACTTAGAGAGCCTGGTTTTAATTTATCTTTGCCAGCACCTCCCATCTGCAGAGCTACTTCAGTGCAGCAGAGTGGAAGTAAGCTCAGATGACTCTGATGCTTTGTCTTGTTTTCTCTTGTTTATTTATAGCGTCCGAGCTCCTTGATCCCTTTTTCAGTACTATTTTTCAGGCCTCTGCTTGGTGCCCGAGACATTATTAATAATGTCAGGTCATAAGTGATGGCCTTGTTAACCTGCTCAGAAACCTTGTAGGAGCGGGGATGCTCCTGCGAGCCTTAATGCTTCATCAAGACTCCTCAGATGAGCGCAAGAAATAAAGAGGAAATGGCCCAAAACAGTCTTCAGGGGCACGGTGCCAGCCAGAGCTCCGTGGGGCTGGTGGTGTCTTCCGAGCAGCCACACTTCACCCCAATTTGGGGTGAATTCAGAAGACATCTGTGAACTCAGGAAGCAGGTTCCCAGCTGCTCCAGGAGACCTGGGACCCTTACAGTACTTTTGCCTACAGCAAAAAATGTATTTCAGTGTAATTATAGAAGATAGCTTTCAATATGTCATCTCTATTATAGTAGCTGTAAATTATGGAAGGAGCTGCCTGTGTACGGCCATTTCTCCCGGCGCACGGCGAGGGGAGAGCTGTGTGATGGCGTGACACACTTTCCATTTCTCTCTCTTTTTTTTTTTTTCCCGAGCGCATTCCCCTAACTGGCAACAAATATCAGGATCAAACTCTGCCTGGAAAGCATCTCCAGGAGGCCGCTCTGGTTCCTGCTGCCGGCTGCAGCGGGACCGCAGGAGCGCCTGCGCCGGGAGAGAGATGGCGGGAGCTGCTCCCCCCGCACGGGCAGGTGCCCCTGCGTGGGGGCTGAGCTGCTCCCTGGCTGCAGGGGGGCACCCGCCTCTCGGGAACCTGCGGCCGCTGGAGGCAGAGATGCAAAGTCCTGGCTGCCTCTCGGCTGCGGAGACAGGCGCTGTGTTGAGACAAACCGGCAGGAGACGGTTTGCGGCAAGGCTGGGGAAATTATCATATTTCTGTAGAGCAGACGTTGCTGGGTGTCAGGATCAACAGGGAAGCATACATGTTTCAGAGCAGCTCCACCTCTCTTTCCTTCTCCTAGCAGCACTTGAGCATCCTCCAAAGTTCCCTGTGGTGTGGACGGATGGCGGTGACATTTCAGCCGAAACCTTTGTAAATGGAGCTACAGGGCTAAAAACGCTACTGCTTCCCCCACATCATTAAACTTATTAGAGTCAAAGGACACTTGCCAGGAAACGGCTGCAAGCACCGACCTGCAGTTGCTTTGGCCCCAGATCTATCTCCAGCCTGCATCCCTGTGTTTTTTTATAAGACACGCTCCTGCTGAATGGTGCTTGTTAATCCGACGGCCATCCCCATCTCAGCGCTCCAGGCTGCATGCCGGGGCCCTGCGGTGCAAGGAGAGCCCAAGGGTCCGCGCAGGACATTTGGGGTCCTTGGAGGGTGCGGGGAGGGGTTCGTTTGAGGGAGAAAAGGAGATTTGCACAAAGACCCTGTCAGTTATTTGCTCAGCTATGTGTTCACCAGTTGAACAACACAGTGAAGGAGGCGGCACAGATGAGGCAGTGCCACCGGCACCTGAACCACGGCAGCCTCAACGCCAGCCTTGTGCCGCCCAGGTTGTGGTCCCGCCAGCATCTGCAGCGGGATGCTGCGTGGACTGTGCCGGTGGGCACCGTCCCCCTGCTCCTCCTCCGGGCTCCACGGGTGCCCCGCACCTACTCCCCACCACCTCACCGCCTCCACCCGCCGCTGACGCTCGGTGGGCACCGGTCGGCTGCGTCGGCACAGCCTGTCACAGACCGTGCCTTTGTTTCTGGTGGCATGAAAAAGCAAAGCAAAGCGGCCAGAGACCTTTCAGAGCGTCTTCACATGAAAAAAAGGGAAACTCTAAAATAAACAGTTATCGAGGCATCCAGGCCCCGCTTCACGCTGGTGAGGCAGGGAGGGGAAGCATGCCAAGGCCGAGCATAGGGGCTGGGGAAGGAGCCGGGCAGCACGGTGCTCTCTTCTCCTCGCCCTCGCAGTTTCAAGCGGTTTTATCACTGCCTCCACATCTCTTTTGTGGTTTTGGTCTGTACAGCCTGATGCTTTGCTGTGATGGGCTGGGGGCAAGTGCAGGACTTCCCCGGCTCAGGTCAGGAAACCACCAGCTGATGAGGTTCGCTGAGCTGATTAGGCTCAGGGTTTACAAGCTTTATTAGGACATCTCTGGGAGGGGAAAATGAAGACATCGCTTGAGGCTCGTGAGGGCCAGGGGTCTCTCATGCCATTCTTCCCTGCCCCATCTCCTTTGCTGCCGTTGTTCCTTGCAAAACCAGAACGGAGAGGAGGCAGAGCAGTGTCTCCCATGGATTACAGGGAACCCGGGGTGGCGCAGCCCCCCACCCCAGGGGCAGGAGCCACGCTGCGCCCAGCACCAGCCGGCAGCACATGGCAAACACACCCCGTGCCATCGGCGTGGCAAATGTGGCGGGTCACCAGGTCCCAGCGGTGAACGTAAACCCACGGGTCTCTGCAGCACGCTCTTCACTCAAAACAAAGACACCCAGTGCCGGTGTCCACCTGAACCGGGATTTCCATACTTCCTATCCGTAGCGGCAGCTCCCGAAGCCTGGCCCAGGCGCTGTGCCGGCGCCTCGCTGGCTACTCCCTTGCAACCTGCTACAGCCAACCCGCCGTGGCCGAGCCTTGCACTGGAGCCTCCTGCCGCCTGCTCCGGGAGCCCGTGGGCTGAGATCGCCAGCACGGCCCTCGCCTGCCTGCGCTCCCCGACTCGCCAGACCCAGCCTTGCAACGCTTCATCACGGGGCACGAAAGTGGCACCGAGTGACAGACAGCTCTCCCCGTCTCTCCCTCTCTGGGCTGGCTCGAAGGGGAGAAACATGGGCTCGGGTGTTGCTTTTATGCGGTTACAGACAACAGAAAACACTCAGGCATGCAAGACATGCGTCCTGGGTCCAGCAAGCGGCTCCTCAAAGCCCGACGGACTCCCGTAGCATCATGGCTCTTTACGGGGGAGAGGGGTGGGGAAGGGGAGGAGGGGATGTGGTCCGGAGCTGGGCAGCGGCGGGCGCCGGCAAGCGGAGGTGCGGAGGAGAGCAGCGGCAGGTACATGTACAACTGAGAGGCTGATGTCTGACCTGTTCATATTTCTCCAGCTCTGTGTGATAGATTTGTCTGATCTGGGTCAATTTGGCTCTGTAATCTGAGTGTTCAATAGAGTTATCTGAAGACCCTCCAGAGGCTGCTGCGGCTGCAGCTGCTGCCGCCGATCCCCCACCTTTCTCCGGACCTGAGACTCCTTCTGCCAGAAGCATATTGTCTAGTCTCATTAGCTGGGGATCGGGAGGGTCTTCCTCCTGGGCTCCTCGGATGCTCAAACCTTGGGCAGAAAAGAGAGAACAAGAGAAAACACAGTCAGTATTTCTTGCATCTGCCCGGCCGCTGCCCGCTCGCTGCACGCCTGCGAGGGGCCCTCCTGCAGAGCCCTCCTGCCCCGCGGGGCCACGGGGACCGGACCTGCCCACGGCCCTTCCTCCATCCCTGCGGTGGTACCCAAACGGGCACCTGCCTCCGAGGCAGGTCCCGCGAACCGCAGCCCAGGCAGGTGCCATGGGGTGACAGCAGCACTGTAGGACCCTCACGGTTCCGATACAGAGCAGGAACATCTTCGTGAGGCTTTTAAAGGACCCTGCAGAGTTTTTAAATGCTTCACTGTAAGTATTAAAGGAGTATTCGCATGAGTACAGAGACATACACCTTCCGGTTGTTTTCCAAGACCTAGCTAAATCTACGCAAGGCTGGCATTATCCTATACATTATATCACTTTGATGCAAGACTGTGTGGTAAAACTAAGTGCATTATTTATTCGGAAATAATTGATTTGCTTCTCATTTCCTTCCAAATGGATCTAAGCGCCATGTTACTCTTATGGCAACTTGCACCAGTGGATTCCACCCCTCCTATGAGATCCAAGTTGGTTTAGAATGCCTGGGGAAAAAGCTGCCACTTGCTCAACTACAGGTGACTTTGGGCGAAAAGCAGGGAGGTGCTGTGTCTCCCACCAGCACAAATCCCATGGACGGAGCCATTTCCATGCGTGCCTGCAGTCTCTGGCTCCACACAGGTGGAGCTGAAATTTCACATCGGAGGAGGGAAATGGTGGAGACAGAACTAGGAGCATCGCCTCGGGAACGGCCCCTGTGGGAGTGGGGTGTGGAGGCTCTGACGGCCCCTCGCTCAGGGCTGCCCCACTCCTCTGCAGGGCAACATGCCGCTCCACAGTGTCTGCTCACAGACTGAGGATAGGCAAGAAGGAATTAAACTTCCCCTTGCCATGCAGGGATTTGGTTGCTATCGCGATGCTGGGCTACTGAGTACGTGTTTAAAATCGCCAGTGCTCTTGCACTGTGTTGTTGGGAACAACACTTTAAATCTAATTTTTGTTTTAAATCAAGAATTTCCAAAGGGATGCTCAGTCAGCAATCTTTTCTGCGTCCTATAGATCAAGGCTGACAATTTGTAAGTTTAATCAGGTCACGCAGGCATGGCGCCAAGCTGTTATCAACAGTGCCAAAAAGAAAGTTTAAAAATAATTACAGTAGTACAAAAATCACTAGAGCCGTGGCTTCTTGAATCAACATTTCCATTAGAGATGTAACGCAACTGTGTACATCCCAGCCCAATTAACCTCTTTAAATCTGTTTAAGAGCAGGTATTCGTGCTCTGGATAGAGTGGGTCCCAGGGGTCTGCCATTGGCACCCCCCGTGTTTGCACGGGTGCCTGCGCCTGTCTGCGCTCCTCGCAGTGGTGCGGGCTCCAAACAGGCTGTGCCAGACGTGGCAGCACCACCCACAGCTGCCACGCGTGTAGCTGAGCACCAGCAATGCTGCTTTCTGCACTAACTGAGAACTGCAGCCACTCCCCTACAAGCAGATTTCACCCTCGGTGTCCTGAACCCCATGCACAGCGGGAGGTGACCCCCTGACTGGCCAACCTTCCAGACTCAAGAAACCACAGCATTAATTTTGCTCTAAAATACACATTTTAAACCTGTCACCTTCATTTAAAACTATAATTCCATATCATTTCATGGGAATAATAAAAATGTCTCATCATCTCTTTAAATTATTTCTGTTGCCTGTTCAGAGGTCCACAGATGAGCATGGTTTGACACCACCACCCATCGTCCCGGCTCCTCCCTGGGCTGGCACAAGCGTGCTGGGCACAGCCCTGGCACGGCTCCGGCCACCCGTACTGCTGCCTGAGCATGTGGCCAGGGGGAGCAATGCTGCGCTCGGGGGTCCCCGCGGCAGGAGGGGCAGGGGTCCCTGGCCACGGGAGCCCTGCGCCCACCCCGTCGGGACCGCTCTGTCCCTCGCCCCCTCGTTCCCCTTAGACACACTGCCCTCGCTCTTGCACAACTCCTGGCCTGTGCGGTGCTGCTAATACAGGGATGATTTTTCTGTATTGTTTTGGTGAGCTGTTCCTCCTGTTTATCTTATTCCCACTCTGCTCTGCTGTCACTATGTTTAATAATGTTCTGGTTTTAAACCGCTCCAGCTCCTGTTCCCTTCTCATGAATGATTTCTACTGTTTTTTCTTCTTTTTGCTTCCAGACCATTTCTCAGTCCATGTTTCCTGCGGTCTATTCCAGCTGGTTCTCCCCAGCTGCTTTTCTGCTATGAAACTCATCCACCCTTCCAGTATCACAGTAGCAGTCCCACTCCACTCCCCTGATGCTGCAAGATGCCAGGCCAAAATCTGCAGTAGAATAATTTGGTACAATTGCTGAGATTTCTGCATCATTTACTTCCACGAACAGGCCAGAGACTAAAGGGCTTTGTCCAAAATGACACTATCCATCCAGACTTAAATTAATATTCAAAATCCCCAACCCTTCTTGTATAAATCTGACAAAGGACAGCAAGGGTTCCCCAAGGTTTAAATGCAAAAGCCAATGTCTGCACTGGAGACTGAAGGAGCCAGTGAGAGGCCCTGAAGCAGAAGAGGAAGAAATTCAGCAGATAAGGACAATGACGAAGCCACTAAGGTGGTGTCTCACACGCGACAAAGCCACTAAGGTGTCTCGCACACAACCCTAACACGTATCTCTCGAGCTGGTGACAGAGGGGTTGGCATATTGCGTTCATCTTAATATTAAGTAACACTCCTGTGGCCAAAGCATCCAGTCCAGCGCGCGCGAGCCTGCAGACAACCCACAGACAAAGGAATGACAAAGTGCATGTGTGGGGATATAACATTTATTTTGCCCCTGAGTGAGACGCATCATTCATTTGAATGGCAAAGCCACAAGTTGATTAACTGATTCTAACAAGAATTAAGCTGTGTGTTAATTCAGATCTTTCCTTATGAACTATACGAAGCAGATCAGCACAACTAATAGGGTCTGGTGTCCCTGGGGGCAGGGGACAGTAAAACTGATGAACTCCTCCGCAATCAGTGAAACATGCAGCTCTTTGGCAAGTTGCATGGGCTGCCTCGGCTGCAGGTCGAACGTTTTTAACGTTGTCTGAGAAGGAGTCAGAGCATCTCCTGGGCGCCTCAGCAGGGAGGAACACTCTCGCTCTCCACCGGCAACACGTCTGCTCCTACCAGCACCTGCCTTTATAAATTACTCTTCGTTTGAATACGGTGATAATATATGTATTTTTTGACATATAAGCTCACACTCAGTGGCTATTGTTTCCCTTTTTTATTCCTCAGTATATCAACCTATGAGTTTATTACTGTTTAGCTCACTGACCTTTCAATGCATCGTGGAATTAAGGTGCAGAGCGGACGGGAAAGAACACAACAATACATCACTTCCAGCGGAGCTACCGGCGCGCTAATGGCAGCGGAAGTGAGAGGGCCCCGGCGCGGCAGCGACCGCCCGGCGGCACGCTGACCAACGGCAAAACCCCCATCAATAACCTGCTTGGAGGGACGGGACTGCCTCGTAGAAGTACGGCCACGGTCCACTATTGTTCACTAATGGCTTATGGGCATTTGGGTCTGCAGAGTATTTAAAATCCAGCATCCTTGGTGACAATAACACATTGTAAGTTAATAAAAAGCATGTGTGCTACTGATTTTAATCTGCTTATAACTACAACGTTCATTTCAGTATCTCGATGATTTAGACAAATCACATAAACAGACACTAAAACATTGTTTAACAATGAACTTGGCTTTGTTATAAGACCACAGTTTTAGCATATCTTTCAGCAAATCCTAATTAGCTGTCTTTCAACATGCTGTGCACCTGCCCCCACACATAATAGACGAGAGCATCTGCATAGACTACTGCATTCAGAGGCCAATAAATAAATTGCAGGTCAAAATTATTACAAAGCTTTCTTCGAATAAACCCATCTCCTTCACAATACAAAGCTGCAGATATGAAAAGTACCTAAAGCCCACTCAAATGGTATGATTACAGGGGCCGTTGGAGTTTAATAATCTGACTGTAATTCAGGCATTTTCAACAGCTCATTAAGGGTTCATTAATATATGGGCAAGCTTTTGAATTATAAATAAGCAGATTAGAAACCTGCAGCGTCTGAACTGTACAGTAGTATCCTCGCCAGCAGAGGAATATCGCAAACACAACGAGGGGCTGACCCCGGAGAGGGGAGGTGGAGGCGGGGGGCGATGCCTCACCCCCTGCCTCCCCCCCCCCCTTGATTCCCCCGCGGGCCGGGGGGAAGGTCCCGGTGCCCACGGAGGATGCTGGCCCTGCCCGGCGTGACCCTGGCCCCCACCACAACCCCCCCCGAGCGTGGGGGCTCCTCAGCTGCCGGCGGGAAGGCCCCCGGGGGGCTTCGGCCCCCGCACGCCACAGGCCGCGGGGGAAAGCCGACGTGGTGCCGAACCCATTTTACAGACCGCAGGGAGGAGCGGCGGAGGGCCCCGGGCGTGCGGAGGGCCCC